TACAGCATCTGGTATTTTCAGGCGGTCACCCATCTAGTTAGCAACCAAGCCCAACAATGCTTAACTTCGATGACCGTTCGGGATCAGGTATTTCAAAATGTTGTGGCTGTTAGCCTAAAAATTTGCAATAGTATGTGTTGTGAGACCGTAACATACCTACAACATGGACTCTTCCAGAACTATATAACGTATGCGATATAACACTCTAGGAGAAGAGGAGGAAAGTTAGGTTGCCACAATTAGTGAGTCAAATATACCAATGGTATTCCTTACACCAAAACAACATATTCTTACTTACCATTTTTACTAAAGACACCATAGCACTTTAACGTCTCTGTGAGGTTCTAACTAGTTCCCATGAGTACAATTTCCCTGAGGAGAATAAAAATAACAACATTTAAAAATGAAACCCCAATAAATATTTATAATGAATACAATCTATATACAAGAAACTAAACAAAAAAAAAAAACAAAACACAATCCTTAAATGTGGCAGAAAAATCAGTTAAATAGATAAAATTTATGCGGGACTAGGTAATTATGAAAAATCATTCGACCAAACACTCACCCAAATACACAAACATCCACACACAAAAAAAAAACAAGTACTAAATACACACTCAAAAAACGTCCCGGACCGCATCAACTAGCATCTCTCTCACCTAACAGTAGATGGGAGGGGAGATTGAACGTAAGAAAATGGGGACAGAAATAAAAGTGATCATTGGAACAATTCTCGTGAAAATACTGACACCGATATGCCAGGTCATGACCGATAATATTACAAATTCTTCTTCAGATTTTAACAGAAATCTCCAAAGTTAATTGCTTAACTACTTGAGAATCATTGTTTTTACGTATATAATATCAATATATTTTTTTCGCCAGGTCATCAAATAGAATAAAGTATTCAGCCTTAAAGACTATTTTTTTTATTAAAATTCGGCTAGATGTGTCAGAATTATCGCCTTGTTAATTTAATATTATGATTTCAATTAATTGTAATTTATCAGTTTATAACAAATATTTATGGTAATACCATTTATATTATTCAATTAAGTCGCACATTCTCACCAAAATATTTTTCCAAATTATGTCCGAAGTTCACGATTATACTTACGCTTATTTGAAGACTACAGTTAAAATCGCTTTCATAAATTACTACGGAGATATGATTAGTTGTCTTGAGTTAATTTAATTTTATGTACCAATATTCAGACACTAGAAGACTCGAGAGCGATTGAAGGTAGACTTGGGTTGGTTTGGTTTGGTTTGGTTTCTTTTACAGCATATCAACCTGAGTAGGTTATTTAATGCCGACAAGATTTATATTGCTGGTAATAATTGTGTTCAAAAATGTATTGCTGCTAACATTTTAACACCAAATGTATTTCTAGTAACATTTTCTCTTCAAAAATATATTGCTGGTAATATTTTTATTCCTTCAAAAATGTATTGCTGGTAATATTTTTATTCCTTCAAAAATGTATTGCTGGTAATTCTTTATTCAAAAATGTTTTGCTGGTAATATTTTTTTCCTTCAAAAATATATTGCTGGTGATTCTTTTCTCAAAAATATATTGCTGTTAATATTGTTTTCTTCAATAATGTATTGCAGGTAATTATTTTTTTCTTCAAAAATGTATCGCTAGAATATATTTACAAACATTTATTGCTGGTATTAAAAACTAATTTTACACTTTCATAGTGTTTTGACCCCAGTTTGTGTGTTAACTATTTGCCTATAGTTGGGACCCTAACAGGTGCTATCATCAGGTCAGTGTGAACTTTGGAAGAGCAGCAATTATGTGGCGGTTCAACGCTCCTCAAAATCTCCTGATCAGTGGCCTTGCTGTGGGATTTAGCTTATCGTCATACCCAGAGGGGGGGATTGAAGGCAGAAATTTACTGTGAATGTTGAAGTGCCAGAAAGTCATCTTTACCAGGATAAGTAACAATTGATCTTTAACTAGAAAAGGATAGGAATGCAGCGCTCAAGGAATAAAACACGTGACAATCTGTTCCATAAAGTAGCAGTTCTTGGCTAAAAAGTTATCTGAGCGGAACGTTCTATTTACATTTGGAACAGAGCGGAAGTTGGGTGATTTGAAATGTGTAATTATCACAGCAGTTTCAGTTGTATATATTCAGTCTTTTTTTTTTACCAATTATATTAATGAATAAAGTCAAAGAATATGCTGATTTTGAAGATTTCTTCTACGGGATTAGCAGTAAAAAATATGGCGCCGGGTTGATGGCTTTTATATGTTGAAGATATAGCTCTCTACTTATGAAGATTTGCATAAGAGTAGATAATTAGAATTCTGTTTTATTACCCGATGTATCAACATATATATCCAATTTGTATAATAAGGTACTTTTTGTCTTTGTAATCATCTTGAAGGAAAATCCATAAAAAGGTGATAATTTCCTTGAATTATGAATATTTTTTTTGTGATTCTGATTAGTAGATATTTCTGCGGAATAATTTTTTTTTAAATTTCTTGAATCTAATCTTGGTACACTTAATTCCATCATATTCATTATAGCTGAAAAAGCATCGAGCGATTTTCATATTGCAAGTAATTATGGATTCAGTCGTCTTTCCATTTGCAGCCATTTAATAATTTTGTGGCGAAAACTACATTGTTTGTCTTTTCCTTCCGATTGCTTTTAGCCCTAATTTATCTTTCCGCTATCCGCCTATCGCAACTTCCGTTGTAAATTCTCCGAAATATCTCGCTGAAAGCCTATTCTGCGACTTTCAGCCTGCAAATAGAATATCCAAATGCAATAATCTTTTCTTGCATTCGGTTAAAGATATTCCACTGTATAATTTAACATTGCATAAAAGAACCATTATATGTATACATACACACACACATACAAACATAAAATATATATATATATATATATATATATATATATATATATATATATATATATATAATGACAATAGTAAAAATTATATTTTGCCACAAATCGGCCAACCAGGATAATTCTGGAAGATAACGCATTAAATCACCCAGTGTTTGGAATTGCATTAATCGATATCATCGGCTACGGCATTATTATTCATAATAATAAAGTTCCTACATCGAGAAAATTGGAATGAAGCCTCCTATCCTATCGCCTAAGAAATTTGCATTTCTTGGCACCGTATCATTCTGTGGAATGTTCTCTATATAGGAGGTCTCAAGACTTGACGGAGAACACCCATCATGAAATGGTAAACGTACGAATACTACTACTACTACTACTACTACTACTAGTACTACTACTGCTACTACTACTACTACTACTAATAATAATAATTTATTGAATAATACAGGAAGCCAATAATTACAAAATGGGGTTTCCAATGGGTGAAGAAAATACAAGTAAAGCATAATACACCGACCCAAGCTGCAAAATACTTTAAAAAAGAAAGCAAATGCAACTGACCAGATACAGAAACGATGGCAAGATAAAACGATTCACGGCCAATATTCTTCTCGTACCAAACATGCTGATGTAGACAAACCCCCTACACATCAGTGACTACGTAGTGCAGGGTTAAAAGCTGAAACCGAAAGTTTTATTCTTGCTGCACAGTACCGATGCTTGTTAAATAGAAATTATCAAGCACACATAATGAATAATTGTGTTAGCCCAAAATGCAGATTCTGTAATAAATATCTAGAAACAGTTGACCATCTAGCATGTATTGGCGCCCGCTGAATATAAATCACAGCACAACAGATTTAGCCAATTATCTGCGTTGGAAAATCTGCAAATTTTACGGAAAGAAAACTGAAAGAGATTGGTATGAACATCACCCAGACCCGGTTACGGAGATAGGACCTGTAACATTTTTATGAGACTTCACAAAACAAACCGATAGAACAAGCAAATCTATTCGCCTAGACATGGTTATAAGAGACTGCAAACAAAATTAAAAGCCTCCTTGTTGATATTGCAGTCACTGCAGATTGCAATGTATCTTTGAAGATCTTCAAAAAGCTATCAAAATAGAAGTTTAAAATCGAAATATCAAAAATGTGGCACATGAGAACATCAACAAATGCTGTTGTAGTTGGATTGCACGGATTTTGTTATAATCCGTATCTATGAACACTAATGGGTATGTCTCATAAATAGGTTGAACAGCATTATAAGTGGGGGGGGAAAACTGTCTAAGTAGTCCACCACTAGAAGTGGTTTACCTACTTCACGCCGCTGGCGAGTATTGTGTTTTGTTGATGTTATTTCATTTCCATCCTCCTTTTTGGTTATTCCTCATTCAGTAACCTTTTCTAGGTTACAACAGATTGACTGGAAAACATTCCAATAGACTTATTGATGGAATTCCTAGTAGCCTATCCCTGAAATAAATACAAAAAAAGGTCTCAGAAGTACAGCCTGACGAACTGCTTTATCTATGTAAAATATGATTTTATGTTTTTTTGGATTTTTTTTTAATTGCTCAGTGGAAAAGGTAGTGATGCCATTTATGACCTTAGATCTCTGGTCGGGACCCGAAGAGAAATGAGTACACACCAGAAATCAAAGGAGTAATAATAATAATAATAATAATAATAATAATAATAATAATAAAAGTGACCACCATAATAAGGACCTTGAAATCAAATCTCAAAAATGTGGCACATGAAGACATCAACAATTCCAGTCAGTTGTAGTTTGAACCATCAGATTGATTGGGAAGGGTCCAATAGACACATTGAAGGAATTACTGGTAGCCCATACCTTAAATGAATACAAAATTTCTTCTCACAAGTACAGCCCACACCTTACGAAAATCTTTATCTATGTAAAATATGTGTAAATTTAAAAAAAAAAAAATTCCTGCTCAGTGGAAGATGTCATGATGCCTTTTCTGACCTTAGGTCTCTGGTCTGGACAGGGAAAGCAATTATAAACCAAAAATCAAAGAAAATAATAATAAATAATTAAGACCACAATAACAGAATGTGTTTTCTTATTGATATGGAAGTCCCTGCAGATTGTAATGTATCTTTGAAGATCTTTAGAAATCTATCAAAATATGAAGATTTTGAATAGGAAATATAGAAAATGTGGCACATGAGGACATTCGTAATTCTAGTTG